CAGCCAGGTCTACATAGTGAGTTCCAGGCCAGCCAGGGTTACATAGACCTTGTCTCAAAACAAAAAAGTGATGCCACCATAAATCTATGAAGAGCCATTAAATCCCATGCTGAAGATAGTGGCTTTAACAGGGGTCAATGTCATTTCCAGTAGAAGTTATGTTAAGAAAAAACACCATCAATAGGCTATAACCAAGCCCATTCCCCAAGACCTTTTACCTTATTTTTCTGTTATACTGTGAGTATAAATTATACATTTTCTAGTTAAATGATACTGCTTTTACTATGTTCTGCTAGTAAATACAAAGACAAATCAGCAACTTCTCAACAGACAGAAAGAAATCTTATTTATTTCTTTTTAAGTTTATTTGAAACCGGGTCTTGTTATATAGCTTTAACTGAAACTCACTAAGTAATAAACCAGGCTGACCTTGAACTCAGAGACCCTCTGTTTGGATTAAAGGCATGCACCACCATGCTGAGCCTAATGTACCAAATTTAAAACAAACATTTGCAGTATCTTTAGTATCATAATAAATTTGTTTTATGCTCCAAATTGTACTTCAAGGACACTTTACCCCAGTTTAATCATCTCTGATTTTAATTCTCAGAGTATTTAAAACACAATTTTGAGTGTGTTTTGAGTAGCAATATTTAGTGAGTTTAAAACATTGAGCTCCGGGACTGGAGAGATGGCTCAGCGGTTAAGAGCACTGACTGCTCTTGCAGAGGACCCAGGTTCAATTCCCAGCACCCACATGGCGGCTATGAAGCGTCCTTCACTCCAGTTCCAGGGGAATCCAAACCCCTCTTCTGACCTCCGAGGCACTGCATGATACAGGTGCACTTAACATACATGCAGGCAATACACTCATACATGAAACAAAACAAAACAAAACATTGAGCTCCAATTTCTTAGCCAGGTATGGTACTGCACCCTGAGAAAGCTGAGGCAGGGGGATTGCAGCAAATTTGAAGCCAGCCTGGCTGTAGGTCAAGTACCAGGCCACCCAGGACTTTCATAGCAAGATCTTCCCTCAAAAGAAAATAGACAAAAAGTATTATCTTAAAAATTGCAGGTTGGGGCCCGGTGTGGTGGTGCAGGCCTTTAGTCCCAGCACTCAGGAGGCAAGGCAGACGGCTCTCTGTGAGTTCAAGATCAGCCTGGTCTACATAGAAAGTTCCGGGCCAGGTGGGGCTACAGAGATCCTGTCTCAAAAAGACCAAAAGTAAATAAATAAATAAATAAATAAATAAATAAATAAATGTAGGTTGACTGATACTATTCCATTTAAGCCTGCTTATTAAAGCATGGCATGCTTAATTAGGACAAGTGGAGAAAGCCAAAACAGAATTTACTACATGGGAAATGGCAATTCAAAGTCAGTTTTATTGAGAAAGATGTATAGATTTTGTGTGTGTGTGTGTGTGTGTGTGTGTAAATCTCTGCAATGTGCAATCTAGAGTAAGAATACTGTTGGAAGCAAGAAGTGCACACAACTCTTGCTGCTTGTGTTCACCGTGATTCACATGCTCTGACTACACCTCCTTCCCTGCTGGAACCCTACTATATACCAACCAGCAGATGCACTACATAACCTCATTCAATAACATCACAGTATGCACTAAGTTTTGGCAGTGAGCTGTAATAGAAACCAGGGCGCCAGACCAAGTAAATACTGTGTGTTTGGCAAAATCACCTGTGGCTGTGTTCTTCAGCCCAGTTTCCAAGATAACCACCAGCTCTGCTTGGTAACCAGACTCTCCCACAGCTAAGGCTCCAACTGTAAAGCTGGCTGAGGAGACATCTTCCTACTGCTGGCTTTGGTGCTGTGGCTGCCCCTGAGAGCCACCATGCAATACACACATAATTTTTTGTTGTTGTTTTTCGAGGCTCACTCTGGTCTTGGGGGCCCCGCTGGTCTTATACTCTTAGCAGTCCTCCAAGTCCCTGACAAGTGCTGGGATTACAGACTTGAGCCATCATGCCCAGCTCAAACATTTGCAAATTTCTAAGGCATTTTATTGGAAAGTAATTTCATAAGAATTCACTAATTTGGACCTAGATGAGGAGGAAAATTGAGTTTCATCTAGGTGTGTCAGTGATTCACGAAATGGGCTTCCAAATGAGGCCAGCAAACAAGGAAATAGTGGCACTTGGCTTACAACACCATGTGGGTGGAGTCAAGAGCAATTGATAGAGCATTTCTAACTTCAACAAGTGAAACTAAAACCCTGGCTCCAGTTTTGTTACCTAACACAAAACAAGCATGCAATAAGAACTCTGGAAGTCCTCATAGCAAGTCCTCAGCAGGTGCATTTCACTAGCTCTGGCCCTGGCAATATGTAAAGCCATATGCTGCCTCTTGAAAACCATACCAGCCCTCTAGGTCCTGGCACAGATAGAAACAATGCTAGGTCTGATGAAAGCTTCAAAAAGCATTAGCAAAGAAGTGAATTTAAACAAAACAAGGTCTCATTTTAAGTTAAATTTCCATTAGTTCAATATGAAAGTAAACAAAATAATATTTTTTCAAAGACATCAATCTTGTTATTGTTTATTATTTCTTCTAAAATAACTAAGGCACATTAGGGTGCCTAGGTGGGACTGTTACACATGTAGTAAATTGAAAGGAACCTCTTCTCAAACTTATTCATATAATTTCTCTAAAACAAGAGAAAGTGCTGGCTTTTATTCAGAATGGTCGCTAATATACAAATTCCCACCTTATAATCACTGAATACTCTTAAGATAATATTAATTAGCAGCTATTTTCAGTGTCAAAGTAGGGTACACAAAATATCAAGAATTTAAATTTGATGATAGGAAACAAACCATTAGGTACCAAAACATTTTAAACCGTGTAAGTCTTCTTATTGAACTGAGTGGAAAACACTGTTGAGTAGTTTGAGGACATGAAATAACATAACATTTGCAAAGTAGTTGAGGTACACTAGCCTGTTAGTTAAACAAAGTCTGGATTGCTGGAATAATTAATCATAGCTCTCTCAACAAGCTAAGCATTGATGCTAAAAATGCTCCATGTTTCCTACATCACTCTAGGGCAAATGAGAACCAATGAGCTGCTTCTACTCAGAGATGAGCAAGGCTTCCTCTTCTGTTAGGTGAAGAGCCCAACAAGGATGAAAGCAAACTAGTCACATTTCCAAAAACCAAAACAGAAAGATTTGCAAACTGAACGGCTGAGTTTTGGAAATCTGATTTATTCAGCAGTGTCTGTTAGGGAGCTGTCTACCTTTCTATCAAATCAATGCCTCCCAAACTAAAGTCTAACTCTCCAGTCCTTCACAACCACTTCTCTGCTTAATAACATTCTTTAAAATCCAATATTTATTGTGTTGACATTTGTATTGTATTCAAAATCCATAACAAAACACATACAAACATGGAGAAGAATTTAACTCTCCAACAGTATTTCAACTTTCCATTAAAATGCAAATGTAATGATTTCATTAGCCAGGCAACAATACCCACAGTCTTAAACCAAACCAATATATCTTCCCGGTGAATTCCAACTTCCCCCAGGACGCAGTCTTATCCTATTTTGGTTCATTTGCTGATGAATATTTCTGAGAATGGATTTTGTCCTTATAATCACTAGTTCGAAACGGAAAGATACCATGTGTGACTGTGCTTTTAAAATCATGGATGTACTCTGTTCCCCAGATCAACAAACAGGCAAATATTTCACTAAATTTTAAGCAAACAAACTTGAAAATAACCCTGTTTCTATTCCTAAAAATTAAACAAGAGAAAAGAAAAAAGCATTCAATGCAATCAAAAGTATATCATGAGCGCAATAACACGACTTCTTAGGAGCCTAAATAGGTCACACTTCATTTCTCTATAGGTAGAAAGCGCTCTCCATAGAAACCCTATTAGTTTATAACAGTATATAATCAGTTCCAGTGAAAAGACTGAGCGAAAAGTGTGTGTGTGGAGAGAGAGGGAGAGGGAGGGAGGGAGGGAGAGGGAGAGAGAGAGAGAGAGAGAGAGAGAGAGAGAGGAAATTTTGGATGGGACTATTAGAGATTGCTCTCCACTTTGCAGGGATTGGATTTCTTTTTTCGGGCGCCCCTGACCTTGCCGTCCTCCAAGTCGGAAGGCTTTGCCCGCCCCCTCCCCAGGCCTGCGCCTGCCTTTGTGTCTGCCTGTCACTTACCAGAGATCCGAACGCCGCCGATTCGGGGGCAGCACAAAGCCTAGACACAGATTTGCACAGAGTCTCTTACACACATTTCCTTGGCTCCCTGGCTGGAAGGCACGGCCCACGCAGAGCCTCTGAACCTTGAGAAAAGTGGGTTCTGGTCCTGTTTGGGGGACCAGAGAAACTCTTCTTTCCCTCTCTCAGCGCCACCACCAAAACGCGCGGAGTCCAGGAAAAACAAAACTCCACTTCGCGCATCCCGAGTCCACTCTGGGTGACATCTGCCCAGCTCAGTGTCCCCAAAGGGGGACCACAGGGAGGAAGCGCAGGCACAAACGAGGACCCCGAGCCTGCAGCAGATGAAAGGGTCAGGGTTCTTTCCGGGGTGGCTGCGGATAAAGGAGGGGCGCGTCGGACTCACAAGAGGGTCAGGGAGAAGACTGATGAAGGGGAGAGGGGTGACCCCCGAGCTAAACTCTCAGGGCAGCAAAGAAAACACTGACTTTTCTGAGGCTAAAAGGCCGGGGACGCGGCTGTGGGAGGTACAAAGGTAAGTTTTCCGAGCAGAGAGGGGACACGCATTAGAAGGCGGGGGAAAGGACCCCACGCGTGGAGGCTGAAGAGAGGAGCAGATTAAAAACTATACTTGTCAGCCATGTTGAAGAAGCTCCAGTAATTTGCGAGGCTTCCCTCTTCCCTCTTGGTATTTGTGGGTGACATGACAGTCCCCGCAAGGCCGAGAGAAAGGGAGGGGGACAGGGTAGGGAGAGCTCCACGGCCGAGAAGAGAGAGAAAGAGTGAGGGAGAGACGGAAAAGGAGACACGCTCTGACCTGCTCGGGTCCCTCCGCCTCGCAGCCCGCCGGCCGTCGCTCGGGTCTCCTTTCTAACAAATCCTAAAGGGCAGCCATCTTGCTTCCTTCTGCTCCTCTACGAAAGCAGCCTAGCCTCCGCATCAATATTCATAAGGCAGTTTGACGTCTGTTCTCATCACTCGGCGGGGCTGGCGTCTCCGGCGGCCGCCGAGGGGGCGGACGTGACTGGCATGCGAGCCGGACCGGGGCGCGGCGCTTGCTGGCTGCGCTCGGGGGACGCGGCTGCTCCGCTCGGGCTCCCCGGCTCCTGCCCCCCGGCTCCTGGCCTGGCCTTGGCCCGGCTCCGGCCCCGGCTGCTGTGCGCTCGAGCTCCCGGGCTTCTGCCCCTGCTGTGGCCCCGGCTCCGGCTTCTGGCCTCGGGCTCCCGGGCCCCGCTTCCCTCCTCCGGCTCCGCCGCCTCCGCCCCGGGCCGTCCGCTCCCCTCGGCTCCGCCCCGGTCTCTCTGCCGCACCGAGCCCGCCGCGTGGGGAACGTGGTGGGCGCCTCCGGAGAGGAGCGCAGGGAGGCTCCAGCCCGGCCTCTCCCCCCGCGCGTGGGCGCTGTGCTCCTGGAGCAGCCGGCGGGGCTTGGAAGTGACCGCACACGCGGGGAAACTTTCCGCCGGCCCGCGCCACCCCCTCCCGGAGCCCTTCCCGTCCGGCCTACCCGCGGGTCCCGGCACACCCACCTCCCGCGCCCAGCCCTGCTTGCCTTCAGCTCGGAGGCCCGCACCCCACGCGCCCCGCCCGGACCTGCCTCTCTCCCAGGTCCCGGAGCCTGCTCCCCATCGTTGCCAAGGTCATGCCCGAAGCCCTTCAGGGGCACGTGTTTTACTGGACACCTTAGAGCTGTCGGGGCGCCGGTCTCCCCGCCCAGGCCCCCCTTCTGTTTACTTTGGCCACGTGGGCTGCGCACCGGAGGGAGTCCCACACATCCAAGAGGAGTTTCTCGCCTTGGACCCTCTCGTAAGAAATAAGCCTGCGGTTTCTGATGCTTAAGTCGTCTTCCGTTAAGTTCCTCGATTTTGAAGAAATTTCGACTTGTACAATTGAGAACCCATTCGTGAAAAGCTGAATTCTAAACAAGGAACACTCGAATTTCCCCGAGGCTCCCGGGGCTGTGTATGCCACGGTTCCATTGACAGTTTTCTTTTTTCGTATTGAGTTTTACTTCCTTTTGAAATGTCCTTTTTGGTAATCATTACCTCCCCCCCCCTTTTTTTAATGAAATAAAGAACAAAGCTCATATGAATCGCGAGATAGTAGTTTTGCGGAATATGCTCACATTACTGACATTTAAATTTTAAGTAGGTCATTTGGGAACATCTATGGGAACAGCTTCTACGGGGGTGAGTTATGATTACAGCAATCTAGTGTCAACACTAGTTCTATTGCGTGTAACCCACCTTTGGGGGGCGGGGGACAAGTCTGAAATTTCTTTAGAGATGCAGCCTGGAGCCAGTAAGTTGGAGCCTGCCTGTAGTGTCAGCTACACCCCCACCCCCAGGCTGAAGACAGGAGGGTCACTTTGAGCCCAAGATAAAGTAGTCAGACATCAACTCAAAAAGAAAAAGCACAGTGGAGCCAGCCAGTTAAGGCACTTGCCTTGCAAGCCTGTGGACCACAGCTGGATCCACCTAACCTAGGTAAAAGTGGAAGGTGTTCGACATAGTTATCTGACTTACACAAGCACATGGTGGCATGTGCCCACAAATATGTGGAGCCTGCATACACATACAGACACACACACACACAGAGGCAAGGAATAAATTATTTTTAATGAAAAAGTAAAACCGGGTGTGGTGGTGCAGGACTTTAGCCTCAGATCTCCTTGAGTTTGAGGCCAGCTTGGTGTACATTGCAAGTTAGTACACCAGGGCTTTGTAGTGAGATCCTGCCTCAAAAAACAAACAGGGATTGGAGAGATGGCTCAGCGCTAAGAACATTGACTGTTCTTGCAGAGGACCAGGGTCTAAGATCCAGTCTGTAATTCCAGTTCCAGGGAATTCGGTCCTCCAGCTTTGCACAATATGGGTGGATTTACGTGCAGGCAATACACTCAGACACATAAAACACAAATAAAATATAAAACCAATCGACAACAACAAACCTAGAAAACAGAAAAGAAAAGAAAGTAAAGAAGCAGAGCATAGTGGCTCAGGCCTGTAATCACAGCACTTGGGAGTCCAATGCCGCAGGATGGTTGGGAGTTTGAACCCAGTCTGGGCCATGTAGTAAGAACAAAATTTGAGGCCTTCCCTGGAAATTGAAGCATTTCCTCTTTGTAAAGTGTTCCACTGTATGTGTAAAATGTTTCACAGACACACACACACACACACACACACACACAGGAAAAGTATTTGCCCAAACTCTGTCATTTTGTTTCTGTGAGGAATGCTTAAAGATCTAAAGAACATTGTTTATTCCATTTGGAAACAATCAAGTGGGTATGTTCTCACACAACAGGAGTCCCAGGATTTACCACCTGGGAGGGAAAGAGGAATGTCTGGGAGTTCAAGGTCAGCCTGGGCTCCATAGTAAGACTCCTCCATCTCTAAAGGAATTTAAAAGGAAGAAAAGAAAACCAAAAGTCAGCTAATTTTCTGATTCTACATAGGCCGAGCAAAATTGTCTTCCCCTAAGTATTTCATGTGAAGTTAAATTCCTATCTTTTCTTCCTGTCCATTAATGTTTCCCTGAGGTCTTCACAGTTGTTACTGAATTTTCAAACCCAAACTGTTTGGAAGGTTCCTTATGATTTTCTTTTTTCGTGTCTAGGATGTAAAGTTCTACAAAGACCATGGCGTGGTATACATTTATGTAGTGCATAGCACCACAGAGTTGTTGAAAGTGTGGTCTTTGGAGTTGGGAAGACCTGAGGAAATCTTGGCTGTGTCTCAAACTGTGTGAGTTTGGGTATGTTACATAACTCTCTGAATCGTTTTTTTCAGCCATTAAACACTGTAAAACTGAGGACTGTGAGGATTAACTGAGACTAGCTAGTTATGCATTGTAACTGGTGGTAGGCCATCTACTTCTAGGATTTTTTTCTTGACTAACTATGGAATGTACATATGTAATCATAAGTCTTTTAAACTTAATAGTATATGAGAGATCTTGTATTGGTATTTATTTTTTTAATGTGTTTATGTTTGGGCCTGAGCATATGTGTAGGCCAAGTGCCTGCATAGGCCAAAAGGGTAACGAATCCCCTGAAACTGGTGTTAAAGGCTGTTGTGAGCAGCCAGATGTGGGTGCTGGGACATAAACCCAGGTTCTCTCTAAGAGCAGCAAATGCTCTTAATCGCTGAACTATTTCTCCAGCCTCCCCAAATCTTAGACTTTTTGTTGTTTTTGTTTGTTTGATTTCTGTTTTTCTTTTTTTGAGACAGAGTCTCATCATATAGTCCTAGATGGCCTATAACTCAATATGTAGAGCAGTCTGGCCTTGAACTCAGAGAGATCTGTCTGCCTCTGCCTCCCAAGTGTTGGGATTGGAAAACTGTACCCAAACCAGCACATGTTGGTATGTATTTGATGTCTTTGTGTTCTTTTATATTAAAGTTGGAAAAAATGACTTTAAGGCCATCTCCTTTGTTCATCTTTTAAAACATCGCTTTTGTAGTAGCAGGTGTTTCTTGTCTATCTGGAATCTTGTTTGAGTAGCAGTTGGTTTTGCAAGAGCCTGAACAGTTTCTTGCCAACTTCTTTCTCTGAATCCCACCCCGCCCTTAACCACCATGACATTTGTTAATTTAAAAGAAAACAGATTATTCCTGTTGGCTACTGTGACTTTTTCATCAACAAAAGGAAGTAAAACTGTGAAGGTCTCCAGGTATAAAATATATTTTTTCAGGTTTTATTTTGTAGATTTAAAGATAACCTCCTTTCCTAACCATTTCTGGGAAAGAAGAATCTAGTGTGAATAATCAGTTGTTTGCTGGCTATTAGTGGACATCTGTATGAGTAACTCACAGCCTGCCTTTATGAATAGTATGCATTCTTGAGATTCCCCCACCTATAGGTGTGGATAATCTAGTTTTTAAAGATAATTCACTGTTTTAGCAACAGTCTGTTGTCATCAAATCCCTTGTCATTTTTTCTCAAACTGGAAATAACAGCACGGATTCCATACAGAGAAATCCTTGCTTCCTGAACGGGGCTGGGGTTGGGGCACGAGGAGGACTAACAGGACAAGTTCCATGCCATGCTATTCTTTGTTGGTTTTTTTTTTTTTTTTTTTTTTTTTTTTTTTTTGTCTTTTTGAGACAGGGTCTCCCCGTAGCCCTAGCTGGCCTGGATTCGCTATGGAGACCAGGCTGGCCTCAAACTCACAGAGATCCACCTGCCTCTGCCTCCTGAGTGCTGGGATTAAAGGCATGCACCGCCACGACGGGCTGCCATGCTATTCTTTGTACGAAAACTGACTTGATTGGCCTGGGCACCTGCTGTCCAAGTCAGTTACTCCATCACTAAGCCTCTTAGGGAGGAGGCTGCTTCCTGTCTGTTCTATCCATTAGAGAACTCACAACAGGAGTGTGATTTACAGCAAAATGTTTTTAGAATTGTCTAATAGCAATAACACCACCACCACCACCACCACAAACTAGATATGTTCTTAATTTCCTCTCTACCTGAAGAAGGACATTTTCTTTAAGGATCTCATTTTCTCCCTAAGAATTGTGCTATATACTGCTTTGAAAGAATTATAGAGGTTTCACAGAAACATCAAATCCTAGCCTCATCTCATTTCTCGTTTTTGAAAACAGTTTTCTGAAGTAAAACATGATAAAGATTTTCTGCATTCTTAGAGGACAACTGAATTTCCTAGGAAGAGGCATTCTCATTGTCCTTACTGTATATCACATGGACGTAGATATTTAAATGAACATAGGGGCTGGAGAGATTTCTCAGCACCTAAGTGCACTGGCTGCCCTTGCAGAGGACCCGGGTTGGGTTCTCAGCACCCACATGGCAGCTAACTATCATCTGAAACTCCAGTTCAATGGGATCTGACACCCTCTTAAGACCTCCTCAGGCACTGCACAACAGGTGCATTTACAAACATCCAGGTAGTACACCACTCATAAACATAAATATTTTAACAATTTTT